CGTTTTTTCTTGTTAAAATAATATTATCATAAAATAAAATTATAAATACGCTAAAATTTAAATTATGCTATTGCGAGTTTTCGTCGTAAAGTGGAAAATGTATCTTAAAGCCTAAATCCTATCATATCTGAACTTATTATCGAAATTTTAATACCTAATATATACCCCATATATGTATATACCGGTTATATKGCGAGTGGGAGGGGCTATCATCCGATTTTACACTTTTTTATACTGTCTGTAGGAGTGCTAATTGTCTTGAGTGGATTTGGTTWTTATATCTTCAGCTTCTTATCAGATATGTACATTAAACTTAATAGAGGATGATGCCACGCCCACCAAAACAATACGTTATACTTAATATTAGCTTTTCATATTATTGTGGAGCTAAGTTATTGCACATTATACACATGTTTAGTGGCATTGTGTGGACGTGACAATGGTGTGATCCCGCTCAGCCAATACCAACAACTCCCGTTGGGTACCAAGGATCAATTTGCACCCAAGTTATCACTTGCAAAGACTGAATGACAAAGTCAATTTATTCTTCAAATCTATGACATCTGCCTCAAAGTAATTTCCTTAGGCTATAATACACGTGTGCTAACACACCAACTTAAAAAAAAAAAAAAGAAATTTCAATTAATGGCTCTTCGCTTTCAACTTTTTTTTTGTCAAGAAGTATATATGTAGATGCTATTGGTGTGTTTTTCAAACCTGTACTGTGAATGACAGGTTGGTTCGAAATAATTTAGCCATAAAAACTTTTTGCGAACGAGTTCGCAGAAATCTCTTTGGAAACGTGTAAATTATGTCAAGGGAAATGGTTGCATCGACCAGAACAATGACAAGACCTATTCGAGATGATTTGCACATAAAAGACTACCCCTTTTTCAGTGGCACTCTATCAATGATCAATAGAAATTTGAAGTTTAAAAAAATGTTTGGTTCCGAGCAGCGCCAAATCAATATTAATAAAAGCTGTGTCACACAAGGTTATGAAATGTGAGTCGAAAAAATGTTAGAATAGTGGCAGAACTTGATATACTATAATACAATATTTGCTGATCTCATCAGTGGAGGAGCGCTAGTTTTTTTTTTTTTTTGAGATTTAATTAATTCATTTTAAACCATTCTGGTAACTCTGTTGAGCGTACTCGCCTCTATTGCCTTATATACAACTCTCGAGATAATTAAATTAAACTTACATACACACAAGCATAAATACGTGTGTTACCATACCGACTGTACATTTTGTGCACACACACATTTACGTACAAACAAAAATATATGAAAACATTTGTAAATATGTATGTATTACATGCTTGCTAGATTATTTCAATGCAACGCAAGTGTTCATTGGCTTTATGCAGGGCAAAAGAAGAGCAGCACAGCAAGGATCTAAGTAGCTGCTAGCTTGCCTTCAGCAAAGTTCTTTAAATTTTCTATTTTCACTAAGCTTCTATTTCGGTATGCCAAGGGGAATTTATCGCATATACATACATACATATATACAAATTTTGGCTTAATTTTTCCGCATGCTAATTCGGTTTTCTGCTAGGAGCCAAGGCATGCTGCAAGTGCTATTTGGTGCATATCTGTATAGATGTGTGTCTATTTGGTTGCGTTGCAGTGRCAGCGAGTAAGTGCAGTAAGCTTGCGATGGTACTTTTCTATTAGTTATCTGCTGTGAACATGAAGCAATCGTAGWCGCAGATATATRCATACATGCTTGTATATTTGYATGTATGTATGTGTGTAGTTCATAGAATTAACACATTTGCAGTCTTGTCTATATATATATATGTGCTCATTTGTTATATTTGGTTCATTGAAACCGCATACTTGCACCACAATGCAAATGTATTAGATACCGAATTTGGTTTACCCTTGGGTTGCCGCCATTCTTTGAGTGTTTTATACCCAGCATGCTGTTAGAGAGTACCAAGGTACTGACTAATTCTTAAAAATAAGCAAGTATGTATTATAAAGCAAATTAATGGAATTGTTTAAACCTTTAAATATTCAGTAGTTTACCACATTGCTGGCCTGAATGTCCATTTTTATTYTAGAAGACGATCAGACCGCCTTCGATATCAGTTTTCACTATTAGCTTTGTTTGAATTTTTAGTTGAGGAAACCTAAAAACCCTTTTTTGGACACTTTTATGTATTTATTGAAGTATGAAATACTATATAATTCCTTATTTTCTTTTTTTGGCAACAAAATCCTATTACTGCTTTCAGTTCTTCTTAAAGCCGTCATTAAAATGGATTTTAACACGCCGCAGTTTTCGAGATATTGCGCTGAAATTTTGCATACATCATTTTCTTCTCAAGATACCACTAATTTATCGGAATTGCCATTATCGAACCACTATAGCACATATCTGCCATACAAACTGAACGATAGGAATTAAGTCTTTGTATGAAAATCTTTTGTATTTGGCGAGATATCTTAACGAAATATGGTATAGATAATTTTCTAAGACAACGCTATAATATATGAATAAATTTTTCAGATCGGGTTACTATATATTATAGCTGCCATACAAACTGACCTATCAAAATGAAGTACTTGTATGCAAAACTTTTTTATTTCACAAAATATGTTCAAGAAATTTCACAGTTTTTATTGCTCAAGCTAATGCTATATGCTCTGCACAGATTATTCAGATMGAATCCAGATCAAATATAGCTGTCATACAAGCTGCCTTTATAGTTAGTACTCTTAAACATATGCTGGGATTAACATAAYTTAGCATACATATATTTACATTTCTATAATGATTATATTAATTTTTGTTTGCTATTTTTTATGATACATAGAAATCTACTAGTAACTTTGGGATTAAATGCACTAAAACGAGCAAAATAAAAACGAAAGTTTGCTTGCTTGTATGCCGCCAGTTTCAGTATGTACATTGGATGTATGCATAGGGGCGGGTGTATGTGTGCTAAATTATTGCGAGTGAAATGTGAGGCGTGCAAAAGAGAATGAATCTAATATTCCTTTGTAATTATTGTAACACACACCAGACATTGCGGTTTGCTAGATAATTGCTAAAGTAAATATGCAAAGCACACATGCAAGCACACCCACCAACACATGCACATATTCATCACACACWTACTCAAGTATACATATCATGTTGCTTTAGGTTTTTAAATATAGTACGTGGACTCTGCTCTACASTTCCACTCTCTCTACTTTGCATGCACACGTTACTCATCCGCCCTGTTGCGCTKCACTGCGCTATGGCCGCAAGGGACGTGTGCATTTCGAAGTGCTGTTATTAACTTTTATTATTATTTTAGTCAAATTAGCAAGCCTTTTGCACACAAAATTTATCAAATTCATAGCGGGTGTTTTATTTGCTCTCAATTTTTCTGCATTTTCTCTGCTATTTTGTTTGTCAGTTTTGATTTCATTTCATTTGGATGGCATATTTATTTTGAATAATTATTAATATGCGTTGCTTTTTTCCTCAAATTTTTCTCAAATTAATATTCGTGTTTTTTATCAGCATTCTTGTTTTTTTAGAATTCGCTTTCCATGTTGATGTGGCAACGGCGTATAAAATCATCGCCGACACATTTAGCGAGAAGGAAATTTGCGAACTAACGGAAATACAATTGTTTCCGCCGCAAAAAATGGTCAGCATCGTGCAAAAGGGTTCACCTTTGCGCAAAGTTATTACATATGGGTAAGTGAGCGTTTTTTCAAGTGTATATGTTAACAGGATTTATGCTCGAATGACTCTGTATGTCTGCTGTGTGCGCGATATTATTTTTCATATAATTTTGGAAATGATTTGCATATTTTTGTTTTTCTGTGTTTTTAGATTGTTTGAGAAATGTTTGAAATCATTAAAATCATATGAAATAATTGATTTTWTTYTTATTTTTTGTGTTCCAATTATTTATTAAGSCTGGGATAGTTCAACGATAAATTCKATGGTATCAAACTATAAAATGTTTGAAATTTTTTGTGAGAAGATTTTGTCTTCAGAATTTCGTTAATATTATTATATTTTAGTGTCAAGTTGCAGGTGCACCGATGTGTTCCATACTAAAAGTAGTGGAGTAAAGAAGCCATATGTTATATTGTCTTGATCTAGAAAATATTTTCAAAAATTATAGTATTATATTATATTACATTATCGCAAAAATGGGCTTCTTGGTTAACTATTGTARGACGCYTCATTGACTATGTGGGATGAATGCACCATGAACAAAAAAGCACATATAGAGGCCGTGAACAGAACATTAAAAGACTGTAGAAACTTCTTTGCTTTTATGGATGGGATAATTTTTATATTTCCTGGAGATTTATGACAGACTCTTCCAGTGATTAACGGGGGTACGCTAGCAGATGTCATCAAAGCATACTTAATATCGTCGCCGTACGGACTTCGATTGAAAATATAAAATTATGAAWGAATATGAGAGCTCATCTTCATGGAATCACTGATGGTGATTTTCYACAGCAACTGCTGAAACTTGAGGAAGGAATTGTCCTCGCTACAAATTTAAGGAGTAAATGTATTTATGTATTGTTCTGGATGAGCGTCTAAGCCAAATAGTACATATCTTAGACATTTTAATAGAAGCAGTACTATACATACATATCTACTATATACCCTGACATCGAGAATTTCCACGAAAGGGAATTTTATTGGTTGGGTTCGAGAGAAATAGTGTTACCCAGGAATGATAGTGTTAACGAAATAAACGATTTATTTATTCAAAAAGTTCAAAAAGTTCAAAAAAAAAAAAAAAAAAAAATACACATCGAGAGACAACGTGACTAATATCGAAGATGTAGTCCATAATCCCCAGAAGTTTTTCAATTTATTAAACCCTTCTACCACCACATGAACTGGCTTTAAACATTGGAATTCCAATTTTGCTTTTGAGRAATTTAAGTCCTCCAAGCATGTGCAACGGGACGACGCTGATTATTAAGGAATTTAATCATAAATTAAGTGTAGAAACCATTATCAGCGGCCCAGCAGTTGGTCAACTAGCTCATATATTGGGAATTTCTAGCTTTTGAAATGATTCTTTAATACCCGGGCTCCTAGTATTACTATAATAGCTTTTGCTTAGAGGTGGAAGCTGTTTGGTCATCACACCATCCCACTACCCCAAAGTAACCTTGTACTATGATCATACTAGTTTCCAAAATACCTGATGTGTTTTTCTAGAGTCCATTGATTTAAAGAATTCAGCGAAATGGTCTAGGGCAGCTTTCGGGAATTGTGTTCTGAAAAACCTTCTATGACGATATGACTGGCTACCCAGGTGCTATTAGTCGAATTACCTAACGAAAGTTTAGTTATTGGCTGTTTGCATATCCTAACACAGTAAGTTCCGCTTGGTTGTCAACTAGAAATTATAGACTTGCTGATTAGAGCATATGCCTTCTGTTAAACTAATAATTTATGTGTGAATAACTGAGTTGAAGTCAGTTAGTTTGAAGATACTTTCGAGTACGGTTATTATAGAAGTAGTCTGCTATTTTCGTATTTCCTGCTATGATCGTCGGTGAATATGTAAATTTCGGAAATTGCAACTGTTGCTCACATTTATCAATATTCGTATTTCGTATTTCCTGCTATGATCGTCGGTGAATATGTAAATTTCGGAAATTGCAACTGTTGCTCACATTTATCAATAGTCATATTGATGGCTAGGCTGTTGAGTAGGTTATCACTCTAATCCACAAGATTTATCATATTTTCGCTATATTAAAGTGACACTTGTTAACATCGTTACCAAAGCAGTGTGAAGTTAATTTTCGGTCAGAACGTGATATAAAGGCATTTATCGAAAGTATGGGTCCTAAAACATATGCTTTCTAAAGTTCTTTGTTTTGAGATGCTTTGAACAAAGTATGTATGTATATCTCTATATATATATATATTACCACGATTTTCACATAAATATTGCTTGAGTATTCTTTTAGTATCTCAACTCAAATCAATTCAAATTTATTCTCATGAAACGAACCTCTTTGTGCAGCACTTTTCTTATCAACTCCCGGAAGTATGCTACATTTTCATACTTTTATTCTACTGCAAGTTGTTGGACATTGAATTTACATAGCTTAAGTTTTCCCCGAACAGCATACATTTGCTCGCTTCACCAGTTCCCTTTAACATTTCCTTTTTGCCATCTACTTCTACCAACTAAGTGTAGACATTTTTTCTGAARCAAGAAAGTACACACTTCTGCGTTGTAATGTCCAAAGAAACAATAAAATTGAGTTAAAAGTTAAAAGTGCTGCGGTCATGGCACATCGTTTCAAAAGCAAAACACACACACACACACATATATATATATACATGCACAACACGCACTTGCAAGCAGTTTGTCTCTTTCAAAAGTATTTGCTGTCAGACCACTGATAGCAATAAACAGCACACCGATGACTGCAAGCCATGCACCAAATATGCAACTTGTTGTGACGCAYAAAGCAACAACAACACCACCAACAAGCACAGCAACAACAGCAGAATAATTGCGAAAATTATGAGGAGACAATATTGTGTGTGTTGGCAACCCTATGTGCTGCTTTGAAATATGTCCGCCAAGCCAGGCGAGGTGCAGTTTGCAATAAATAAGAAAAATGTGCTGAACTTTGTAGAAAGTAAAGAGAGAGAATGGTCAACAGGTAAACGCAAAATGCTCGGTGGCGCTTGTTCCGAGTGTGTGTGTATAAAATGGTGTGAGTGTATGGCAGTTGTGGATGGTGTGGTTGCAAGTATGCGCAGCTACTAAGTGCTGCATTTGCTAATATATGCATATGTATTTATTTATTCGCATTTTATGCAGCAGCCCAGTCATATCTGCGTGGCATACTTCTAGGGGCTTATAACTCTTCATAGCGATGTCAAGTCACGGCAAAGCGCTGGAAGGCTAAATTTAGTTTTCGAACTTTAAGGGCTTGAGGCAGCCACAYATTTTATAAATAAGCACAATTCTGAATATAATTTCACCATTTTTATGAAATATGTATAGTTTATTTTTTCATCTAACTCTCCATGCTTATCTGTTCTCAATGAAATTATTGCTTTGTAGCAGAAATTAAATATGTCAGTGGCTCCAAGCTAACCTCAATATGATTGCTGCACATTCTATCTTATTGAAATACGAAATTTGAGTGCTTGGTTATCGAGATTCATGTTTTAGTTTCCGAAACTCAGGTCAAAACTATTTTCTTTTATTTCTCTAAGCAGTCAAGTGTTTATTACCGGTTAAAATCTCTCATATGTCCTGCCACAAATCCTCAGAAATTTGTTTGTAGTTTCTAACACTACAAAATTTAGGGAATTGCTGTCGGTTTGGGTGTGTGTGTGTGTGTGTGATAAGATTTATTACATTCGCTCATTGAAAAACTGGATAATTGTTCTGTACGAGTGGGATACATGCACATGTGTTAGCTATACGTGATGCTATAGTACATATCGTCACCTGAAATGCAAAATAACGTATCATCAAAAAATTCGAAATCGAGTGTCTTTTTGATTACGCTTCACTACTTCAAATTACATACATAATCTTACATATGTTCAGCATTTTCAGGTTCTGCATTCAGCTATACACCAGTTTTAACAAATATTAAAATTTTTTTTCACTCATATTCCATTTTATTTCGTGTTTCATTCACGCCACTGTAAATTTTCGAAAATGTTGTTACGTTATTTTCCATTTCAATTGACGATATGTATATACATATATGCATTGGTGCTTATATATTTTTATTTGTATGAAGGCAGTTTTATGGAAGACATGTCATGTGCTTGACAAGGGAATGCAAGCGAATTAATACGTTGCGAGGATGGAATATGAGGAGCATTTTAGTAAACTTAC